GGGCACGAAAGAATGAACGTATAAAATTTCGGCCAGCGCTTATCCTGATAGTTCCTTAAGGTAGTTTTTATCTTTATTTCATTTATTAGATTTGGAGAAATTAATCCCTGATATCCACCATTTAGTAATTTCCAATCTTTCAAAATTATTCGAGTTTAAAGTTGCACTTTATGAGAAGGGTTCATACTTTGTTTGCTTTATTGCATCACAGACGATTGTTTATGTTTAAAACTTTTTTAAAATTTTCTCATTAATTATTTAATATATTTTTTAATTAAAAATTGTTTTTTTCACATTTTTCCTTCTCCATCTGTCCATTTTTTCTTTATTTTACCTTTCACTTAACAATTAAAAAATTTTTCTGAATTAAAACAAAATACCAATTTTCTTTAGTTTCTAAGGTTACTTACTTAAATTTATAGTTTTTTAATATTAGGTCACGAAAATATTTTTTTTCGAAAAAAATATTTAAATATTACCCTTTAAATGTGAGAATAACTTTTAAATGAAATTCGTTTAATAAATTATTAAAAAAATTTTTTTCTTAATTTTATAGATTTGTAGTTGTCTGAACTTCTTTGACAAAAAAATTTTTTTAAAAACATTTCTAAGAAAAAAAATTATTTTTTTTCTTATGCCAATACAAATATCACAAACATTTTTTAATTTAATTTCTAAGAAAATATTTTTATTTAAAAATTGAAAGAGAATTTTCTGTAAAGGAAAGAATTAATTTAGTGTTTTTAATTTAATTTAAGCAATAAATATTTATTTTTTTATTAAAAAATAAGCAAAATTAGAAACATTTTTAATCTAAAAATAATTTTTAGTTAAATATATTTTTATTATTTAATTATTTTATTTATTTTTTGTTTTATTTAATTTGACAATAAATAAATATTATCGAGAAAATTAGAATTTAAATTCAAAAATATAACACATTCATTTCTACACCAATTTTCAGAAAATATATTTTATTTTCAAATTTAAATCTAATGTATAATTATTTTTGTTAGGCATTACAAATTTAGTCTTTCATTAAGTCTTATTCCTGCGCTTCAGCAACCTAGTATTATTCCGATTATTTTGTTACTAGTTAGATTCTTAGTTACTGACTCAATTACCCCAATCAAGGACATAATGAACACGTCTTTGTTTTTCATATTAAAAAGATTTTAAAGATTCCATAATTAATTCTAAAACGAAATTTTCTTAAAAATTTCTTTTGGAATTTCTAATAAATGTATAAAGTAAATTATAACACAATTATAAATTGTGAACAGCTAATTTTTTAAATATAATTTTATTAAATTTATTTTAATTTATTTAATTCAGCACAATAAATTTATATTTAATTTTCTTTAAATTTTGTTTTAACTTTCACACGTAATTTTTCGAGAAATGTTTTTTATTACGCAAATATATAAAATTATATTTATTCTTTAATTTTCTAAATTTTATTTGTTAATTTAAAATAAAGGAAATTAAATAGAATTTATTTAAATTTTTTGAGAATTTTGTAATTTTTAATTCAATTTTTTATTATAATTTAATTTCTTAATAAATTTTTACCTTTTGTTTTAAAAACCGAATATGTATCTGCATACTTTTAATTTAAAAAATTTTTTTTCATTTAAAAAGAATAGCACTCTGTCTTCCGAAATCCCGATGAGTTGTTAGCAAAAACTCTGACCCGAACTCCGAAGGCTCTACGCCGGCAAACTCCCTAGTCGGGGGGTTTTACACCACTTGAGGATGAAATTTAAATGGGGAGAGTTCTGCGGCAACATTCGGATTCCCGACACACCAAACCCCGAAGGTAGGGGTGCTACCTTAATCTTGTTTCCTTCAAAAAATTCTGAGACTGAAATAATAAACAAAAATTGGGTAGAGAGATGGTGAAATTTTTCGAGATTTTTCTGGAAAGAAATCTCTTTTTGAGATTTTTAAGGAAATTTTTCACATAAAATGAGTAATAAATCTATTTTTATTTAAATAATATTTCTATATTTGTAATTATTTCTTTTTCTAAAAAGAAATATTTTTGGGTTTTTAATTTAATTGTTACTTTAAAAATTAATAAAAGATTATTAAATTTACAAAAAATGTCAGCAGAAATACTCTCAAAAATTTATTAAATTTATATTTAAAAATTATTTGGTTATTTTTAGTTGAAAAGAAATTTGTCAAAATTTAAATTTAATATTATTTTAGAAAATAAATTTATTTATTTGTCCAGAATATTCTTGTAGGGCACGTTAAAAAGTTTTATAAATTTAGTCAAGATTTAGATAATTAAATAATAAAACCAAAGGGATTAGTAACTTTCCATTAAATTATTTAAACATAAGCAGGAGTGTCGGTTAGAAACTGAATCGCCGAGGATTTCCCGGTTTCTGTTTTTTGTTAAATACGAAGAACCGACAACCCTATTTATAAATTTCCAAAAGAAAATAAACTTTTAAAACATTTATTCTTTTTAATAACCTTATCGTGCTACTAAATATATTTAAATAATATTAACTTCCGGTAACTACCTATTAATTACTATCTCTTTTATTTGCCCCAAAATCATTTAAAATAATTATTTTTGCAAAATAAAAAATAATTAATAGCAGAAGACTATAAATAAATAAATAATTTTTATATTTAAAAACTCATATTTAGTCTTTCAAACGATTGAAAAAAACAAATAATTATTTATTTTTAAATATATTATTACATGAATAAAACACAAAAAAATAATAAATAATTATATATAGAATATTTATTTTTTATTTATTTATAAATAAAATTTTAAGAAAAAAAATAAATAATATACTAAAAATGTGCCAACCAATTTATAAGCAAATAAAAACATATATGTATTTTAACAAAAGCTTTTTAAAAATAAATTCTTTTTTTTTATTAAAAATCTCCTTTTATTTCATTCATTTTTTAACATTTTATAATCCCATAAAATGACAAAAGATTGTTTGACATTATTTAATGAGAACTTTTAGAAGTTTGCAAAAAATTGTTTAGGGGTTTATTTAACTTCCGAGTTGCGGAATGTGGCTGTGTAAAATAGAGTAGCACACCGGGTAGCACTCGGGGGCGGGAGTGTCGGGTTTAAGGGTTGTCTGGGTAGAGCCTTTGTGGATCAGGTCGGGGTTTCGGGGGACTGGGTGCTACCTGCTACCCTAGTGTAAAATACTAATTTTTAGTGTCCAGCTTTGAAAATTTTTCTCGAATCGTTCTTTCGAGTCTCTAGTCGATCCGTGCGGCAACATTAGTCCTGATATTTAATTTTGTGTTCTCTATATTTTTTAAAATAAAAATATATTTTAGCTTAACGAAAATAAAAACTAAAAATATTGAGAATTTTTCACAAAACATCTGGACCTTTTAGATTAATTCTGATAAATTTTTTGTTTGAGATTTTTTGACATTTTGTTTAAAATAGTACAAAAAAGGAATAAATAATTACGTAATATATTAAGTTATTTGTGATTTTACTCCGTGAAAATTCTGAAAATATACATAATAATTTTTTAATTTAGAATCATTTTTGTATTTAATGAGAATTTTTTAATATTTTTTAAATAATTCTCAAGTTAATTTTTATTAAAAAAATTTTTAATTTATTATTCTAAAATTATAATTTTCAAAGAAATATTACATCTAGATCTGTTATTTGTGTTGTTAGCCTTGAAAATAAAATACCTAAATAAAAATTATCTTGAATATTTTTTATGCACTACTTTGGATGTACTAATTTGTGGTTTGTTGATAGACAAATAAGAATTAAGTACATTTTAATAGCCCTATTAATTTATTACGCAATTTTTACGTAATTCCATATATTTAAAAATACTAGACAATTAAATGTGTTATTTAATAATTGTTATTTAAATTTTAAATAATTTTGGAAATTTATATTTTTTGGCTAGCTATATACATATGCTATTATCCTAAGCGAAAATGTGATAACAAGTAAGATAGCCATAGATTCCAAAAAACTCGAAAAACTTTAAATTTCCAGACATTAAATTAAAATAAAAGCCAAACAATTTTTTATTTTTTATAACATGCAATTAAAATATTTAATTTATAAATAAAATTTAATTATTATTTAATTCTCCCACACCTTCCTTCCTGTGCTGACACAATAAAAGCGCGCATTTAATAAAATAAATGGTAAATAAATTTAATTTTGCATAAATTAATTAAATTATTTTAAATAAATGTTGAAAATATCAATACTTTTTTTTCATTTTTATTTTCGTAATCGTAATTTTTTTGTTTCCAACAATTTTTTCTCGAGAATATATTTTACTTATTTTCCTCACATTTAAAAATCTTTCCCCCCTCCTCTCTATTCATTCTTTTTATATTTAATAATTTATTTTTATTGTTTTAGATTTAAAAAAATATATAAATATTTACAATTACGTCAAAATATTTTTAATAAAAAAATTAAATATTAATTAAAATGTCTCAATATTATTTTAATTATTTTTCAGAATTGGTAAGTTTTTATTTTTTGTTTAAATTATTTGATTTAGAAACTAGTATTGTTTACTCCCGATTATTAACTGGTACTCCCGGTTCTCGATTAATCCAAATTTTAAAACCCCGGTTTTCGGTTTTGAGTTTTTGTCAAATGCCGGTTTTATTTTGGGGAAATTTTTAATAAAATCGCTTATTCTCAGAAGTTTTCGGTTTTTTCAATTTTGTAAACATTGATAATTTTTATTAAAAAATATCAAAATTTTCTGTTTTAAAATATTTGAAATTGAAAATTAAATTTTTAAAATTTTTGGGAAATAAAATTTATCTTAAAATAGAAATAGTTGTGTTCTTCTGAATTTATATTTTTTATTTTTCCCCATCAAAAATGGATTTTTTGATTATTTACCATTAATTTCCATGGAAATACCCAAAAATTCTTTTAAAAATTCAAAGAAAATACCCTAATAATTGAAAATAATTTTTTTTAATTATTCTTCATTAAACAGATGTCTACAAATGATTTAGATACATTTTTTGTTGCTTATCGAGTTCAACTGTACATAGCCATAATTGCTCTAATTATTAATTTAATTATATGTATTTACTCGTTTTGTGTTTTTGATTGTTTTAATCCCCACACAACAATGTGGAGAACACAATTAATTTTGGATATTTGTATAGCTATTGGCTATATTTTGGATTCTTGTTCTTTTATTAGTTTAGGTAAGTTGAATTATTTGGGTTTTAATTAAAAATTAATTTTTATAATATTTTAATAAAATTATTATAAATCCTGTAATTAAAAAGAACTCTCTGGCCTTTATAAACTAATTTGCTACATATAAATAATACGTTTTAGTTTCTTGGTCAGGAATTAGACTGTCTTAAGTCGTGTAAATTTTTCTTTTTGGATCTTAGGATCAAGGCAAGGTCCTTAGCAGGAATCGCGCCGGCAGAAAATCAAATTCCCGATTTTCGTGTATCTTGAATTCACGAGGCAAAAATCGTCGGGAATTCACGATTTTCAGGAATCGTGGATCGGGCGGCGCGATCCATGACCTTAGTTATTGTCTTGTATTGTAGTTATACTAGATATAATTCTAAAAATTCGATTCATTCTAGAATATTTTTAAAATTTTTAATAAAAATCTTTTAATAAATTGAATCTTTTAATTAATTAATTTCCAGAAAATTCTTTATCATCATTAACTAATAATAATTATTTAATATCACAACCACAACAACCCCAACCAACAACAAATATTTCTTCTTCATTAGACCAATTAATTAAATTAACAAATAATACAGTAACTGACTGTAACAACAAAAAACCCCATTTATTTCTTTTATTAGCATGTCGTCAATGGGCAGCTGTTTTAGTTTTTATTATGGGTTTAGAACGTGTTTTATTTTTATGTTATCCACTTTGGTTTAGATCTATTAGAGTGAGGTAAAGGTTTTTTGAAAAATTGTAAAAATTATGTAAATTAATTTACAAATTAAAAAACAAATTAAATAAATTATTTAAAAATATAGATAAATAGGTTGAGCTAAATTTATAAATTAATTGATAAAAAAAAATATTTTTTTCTTTTATTTTAAATTCGGTAATGTCCTTTTATCGGTGTCTTTTATAATCCTTTACACTAAACATTCTAAGATTTTTTTTTAAATTTATTAGGGAATTCATTTTAATTTTAAGGGGTGACCTAAATTAAATTACTGTATTTACTCGATTAATCCCCCACCCTCGAATAATTCCACATATACACCCTCTATTAATTTACCATGCCACGGATGGGTTGAAAAAATAATTCCCCAGGGGAATTAATCGAGTAAATACGGAATGTATATTCTATGAAAATTTGTTTAAATTTAAAAAATCTACATTTTAAAGGAAAAGTCCAATCAACACATTTGTTCTTTTCTTTGTTCTCTTCTCGGCAGGTATTGCCTACACAAATGTTTCCATGGTTTGTCCCTACGAGCCAACTCATTTTACTTGTGAACTTACCTGGGCATTCGGAATAGATTATGGATATCTTTCGAATGGAATAATTATTTTGTCTCAATTGTTTGGATTTGTATTTCTTGTTATTGCTGCTTATTTTGTTCACAGACTTGATTGGCCGTTAAGGAGATTTGGGGGAAATAGAAATAAAGTTATTAGTGAAAAAAGAAAAATTAGGTTAATTTTAAATAATTTTTAGAGATCCCTAAACTAATCACAAACCCTCTAAACCCCTCAAAAGGAGGGTTGTTAAAATAAAATTCTGGGCCAGTTCAGAGAATTAACGTTGGAGAATAAATTTTGTTTTTATTTTTATTTAAACTTATTGCTAACCTATTATACGTACAATTTTCTGATATGCTTCGATCATTATCATTTTATGGCTTTCCTCTTTTTATTCTTAGTTTAAATTCTTACAAGGGAACATCGTTTACTGTTAGGAACATCGTCTAAAAATTGTTGCGTTACAAAAACTTCATCGAAAATTATTTATTAAAATAAATTACCTAAATCCTTTTAACCTAGTATTTTTCTCAAATCCTAATTTTTCCAAAAAATGTTTATTTATTTTTTTAGAAAAATAAAATGGTTAATATTATCCTGTCTTGTATTTATTGCTTTTCCACAATTTTTATTGCTACTTTTGCACTTTACAAGTCCAAACGGACTTTATTTAATTAAATTAATTGTATCTTGGCTATTTCTGACAAAAATGTTCTCAAATATTTACATTTATATTTTGGCTACTCGTTATGGAAAGGGAATGTTTGGATTGGTAATTTTAATTGATTATAAATTATTTAATTTAATTTTTAAAAAAGATTAAAGAATGGTGGAAAAATAGAAAGAAAACGGCTATTAATCCAAACGAGTCGATGGCAACAATTGTAGCCTCACAATTTATTAATCGCCAAGTGCAGACAAGACAGTTGCAAATGTTGTCAACAATTGCTAATTAATTAAATAAAATTAAAATATTTGTATTTTTTTTAAGTAAATTAATTGTGAAAATTAATTTTAAAAAGTTTTTTTAATGAAGACAAAAACAAACTTTTAAAACTGATATTTTTATTTTTTTAATTAAGAAATCGTGAGTTTTTTTATAATTTAGTTATACCAATTTTTTGTATTTTTTGTTGTAATAATGAAAATTTATTTTTTGTATTAAGAATTTTAATTTGATAAAGTAGATTGAATATCGAAAATAATTATTTAAAAACATAAAATAATATGGAGTTATAAATAAATAAAAAAAAATAAAAAAGTGAACTGTTTTCTAGCTTTCTATAAAGTGTGTCAAGAATTTATCAATAAAAAAGTGTTGATCCATTTCCCCCATTTAATTCCTCTCTCCTTCCTTTTTTCTTTTCAAAATGATAATTTTGATATTTTGAATGTTTATTTATTAATTTATTGTTTTTCCAATTATTCCTTTCATTTTCATAATTTTCTTCAAAAATTTCTGTTTTTGTATCCCTTGTAGTGTTTGTTTGTAAAGGTCCAGAGAAGGAAAGGTCAGAAGATAAAGGAGATATAGATTTTGGCTGGATTTGATTGATAATTTGTTGTTGACGCTGAAAAATATATTTAGACTTGGTGACACCATAAGTGACACCATAAGATACAAGTCTGTAAGAGTTTAGTTTGCTCTCTCCTCTCGATTTTGGGAAAAATAAACGAAAAATACAAATCAAACTTTTACCAACAGTTCTTTCTTAAATCCGATTTTACTTAATTAAATAAGTATTCCATTTGGGAGCAGGCCAGTGTACCGCGAGCCCAATGTACCGCCGAGCTATGATTTTGTTCAAAATTGTCGAATCCGTGGCGCCCTGGTTTGGTTCGATTCAACTGGTCGAGCCTCATCAGACTATACCAGGGCGCCACGGATTCGACGATTTTGAACAAAGTTATAGCTCGGCGGTACATTGGGCTCGCGGTATATCGGGGTGTGCCCTTCCATTTCCTCTTGTTCTCATTTTTGTAAGAAAATATTTTTGTAATTACCCCCAATTTAAATTTAACCACAAACATTATTTTTATTTCTGGGTATTGGACTCCAATTAATATTATGTGGAGTAATTCCTAATATTCTTGGACTTGAGGAAAAACAAATTGTATCTGCATTAGAACTGTCTGGATGGGAAAATTGAGAATTTCGATTTCGTAAAAAAGCCTGAAATTGAAAAATAATTTGTAAAAATTCAAAAAAACATACACATCCACAACAGACAACAATTAAAACAATAAATAAAAATAAAATTAGAGATATTGTTATAGCTTTAAAAAATAATAAATTAATTTTAAAAAATATTTTAAATTAAATTACCCCAAAATATTCCTCCCCCTTTTCGATTTACTAAATTATTTTTTAATTCTTTTTTAAAAATAATTTCTTCTTCTTTCTCCTTTTCTTCCTCATTTTCTTCTTCCAATTTAATTTGTTTTACAACCCAATTATTTGTTTGAGCAATATAAAGTTGGCCGTTATGTGTAAATTGAAATTGGCCAGAAGCTAACTTTAAAAAATAATTTTTTAAATTTAAAATTAAATTAAAAACTAAACATTTTCGGCAATATTTTTAATTTTCTCCCTTCCATTATTATCAATAATATCAAAAAATACATTCCCAGAAATTCTTTCTATTCTCAATTTTTGAATATTATTTTCTTTAATATTAAATTTAATAGCTAAATATGAACGAAGGGATCTTAAAAATTAAAAGGAATTATTTAAATAAATTAAAAATTAATGATAAAATTATTAATAAATCAAATTATATTATTAATAAATTCGACATTCCGTAAATTTTATAGAAACTATAATATTTTAAATTCTTTTAATTCTTCTATTATGTAGATAAAGAATTTAAAAATTTTATTTGTCATTTTATAGCAAATAAATTTGGCTCTAGTCTAGTTGATGCGTCCAATTTGGACGCATAAAGGTTTATTGAACGCATAAACTAGACCAGCGCCATAAATTTAATAAAACTACCTAATTGATAATTTTTATGTATCAAATTTAAAAAATTATCGATATTAAATTTAAAAAGAAATTTAGAAAGTAACCGTTAAATTATGTACTATTTTAATTATTCTTTAATTTATTTATCATCCACCATTCCACCCCCCCCCCCCTACCTTTCCATTTCTTCAATTTCTTCTTTATTTTCAACAGGAATTAATGTTAACCCAATAGTAAAATGTTCATTTAAATTATTTAATTCATTTTTTATTTTTAAATTATTAACACCAATACATTGGTTTTCACATTCCTCTTTTGTATAAAAATTATTTTCATTTCCTCCACAACCAGCATAAATAAATTCCTAAAAAATTATTTTTATTGAGAATTTTAAGAAAATCTTTAGGTAATTATTTTTTTGGGAATATTTTTAAAAAGAGAAACGGGGGCACGGAAATGGGACAAAAAATGGAAGAAAGAAAAATTCTTCAGATTTCCTCAACTTTATTTAATATACTAACATAAATCCCCTCCCTTTCCTCACCTCACATTTATTTTCAATTAAATTATAAAAATATCTCAATTCAATAGATTTATCACAAATATTTTCTTCTTTTTTTAATTTAATATTAATTATTATTCCTTCATTTAAAGGTAAAAAACAATTATTTTCTTCCTTATTTTCTTCTTCTTTAAATTCTCTTTTATTATTAGTTATTAATTCTTCCTCCTTCTCCACCTCCTCTTCATTTTCTTTAATTAATTCACAACAAATCCCCAATTTATCCCTTTCTCCCTCCAAAAAAGGTTTTCTAATACATTTAAAATTTGCTGGACAAAAATTATTTTCCTCATTTGGATTACAATAAATTGGCAATTTTAATAATTTATTTAATGCTGGATGTTTTGTATTCGCACATTTATAATCTTTTTTAAAAAAAAATTAATTTTAATTAAGCAAAAATATGAGAACTCATAACTATAAGTTCACCCTAAATTTTCGGATTTCTTAACTTGTATCAAATCAATCGGGCTGATTTTTATTTTATATTTATTAAGGCGGGTAGCAATTCATATAAACCAGATAAATCGAAAAAATTTCCATTAAAAAATTTTTTTATTTAAAATTGACAACTTTTATTAGAGATTAGGTATTTAATTTTATGGTTATCAAAATAGAGAGTATAGTAACTTTTAGGCTAAACTTGAGCCAAAAGGCTTAGGTTTTGTATTTTCAGATTTTAAATTAAATTAATTCACCATTTTCGTCAATATTTTCTTCAAAAATTGTAGTAGGAATAATAATTTCTTCGGTAGTTGTCTGAATTTGTGTTTCACTTTGTATAGCTATTAATTTTGTTTCAGTAGAATCGAGTAATTTCTTTTGGTCTATATTTATTTTAAAAAAGTTATTTTAGTTAATAATTAACAATAAAATTATTTAAAAATATCTCAAGAATATTTTTAAGTAAAAGTTTAATTAATTAATTAATTAGGCTGTTTTTAATCCAGCCCTGACCCCAAATATTTTTTTTCAATTAATTTAAAAATACACCTTCAACACCTCCTCTTCTTTTACAACAAAACCCAATTATTTCCTCTTTATTTTCTTCCTCTAAAATTTCAGGTAAAAATAAACATTCCTCTTCCTCCTCCTCCTCATTACATTCTGTTGAATTTTTGGTACAAATTTTAATATTTTTATTTTCATCAAAAGAATTAAAAAGTTTGGAATTTGTGCAAATATTTAGAACACCTTTTTTAATTTAAATTTAAAAATAATTATTTAATTTAAATTTACATTTGGGTATAGATGGACATGGAGGGGTTAAACATTTTGTTTGTTTTAAAATACAAACTTCAGATTCTGGTAAAGAACATTTAAATGTCTAAATAATTAAAGTATTTTTTAATTTACGGGTAATTTTGTCCTTTTTTATCTCCCTTCTATATTAACTAATAAGGTTGGCGGATAGTTGGAAATCTTCGGATATCCGGATCCGGTATCCGAACCGAAAATTTCCGGATATCCGGCCTTTTTTGGATCCGGATATCCGGATCCGCCAACCTTATTAACTAATCCCGATACTATATTCAAATTATTTATCCCTTTATTCCTTTCTTATATTATCTCTAATTTATCCAGTCATTTAAGTTTACAATAATCATCACTGAAATTTAGATTACCTCACAAGGATTTCTACATTCACAATTTTCATTAACAAAACACCCTCTATGGTCCAATTTAAATCCATATTTACAAAAAGATTCTTCTTTTTTATTTAAACAATTAAATGGGCATTTGTGTCTAATTGAACAATCAGGAATTGTTGGGGCAAGAGGGGAAATTGATGTTCTTGTACCTGGTATTTCTGTACCTGTGTATTTATCGACACACCAATATTGACTGAAAAAATAAATTCTTTTTAAAGTAAAAATTATTTTTAGTGTTTTTAAAATTATTTTAATTCTAAATCCTATCAGGATGATTGTATGCATACTTGGGCGAGGGGCAACTCAAGGAATACTAAGTCAAGGAACGACCAATCAAGGGACGACAAGTCAAGGAATGACCAAATCATGGAATATTTTTAATATTATGCTTTTTAAAGTATCCTTTTTTTAATTCTTATTTTTTAAAAATATTCAGATTTTTCAAAAAATTCCGATTTTTAAAATATTCCATTTTTGGTCATTCCATGAGTTGGTCGTTCCTTGACTTGTCGTCACTTGACTTATCTTTTGCTTGAGTTAGCCCGATACGGTCATCCTCATACTAACATTTTTATAATTTTAATTCACTTTTTTAATACCCAATTTTTTTTTGTTTTCATTTTACCATTAAATTCTTCTATTAAATTAATACAAACAAAATATACCCTAATAAAGAATTAAATTGAATATTCTCAAAAAATCCCTCATAATTACATTTTGGCAATATTAATTGATTTTGTTGTTTTTTATTAATTAAATGTTTAATTGTTGATAATTTATCTAATTCATTTAATGTAGATTTAAGTAAATGAATACATCTAGAATATTTATTTAAATTTAAATATTTAAATATTTATTTATAACTAACAAATTAGCCAATTCCGGAAATTTACATTTCCTCCCACACCCAACTTGACAACAAATAGAATGTTCACTTCTCTCAACACAATCAGAATCACTAAAACAATTACTAACACAGCCTGGATTGCTTGCATTTTGTAAATAAATTGGGCATTGTTTTTTAAAAGATAAATCTGTTGATGTTGAATTAAGGGAATATTTAGTAATAATATTTTCTTTTTCGCCCTCATCTTCCTTTTTCTCTTTATTTATTTTAATTATTTTAATTTTTTCTTCATTTTCATTATTTATTTCTTCCTCATTATTTACTAAAAAGCATTCACTCCCCCAACCATTAAAACAACATATTTTTCCTTTTTTACATTCGCTAGTTAAACGGCATCCTAATATTTGTTTTTTACTGTTTCCTGTTAATTCTGTTAGGTTTCGACGATATAATAAATTTGGAAGTGATGGACATTTAGTTGCAGAATCGAATAAATTATTTTGTAAAACTAAATAAAATATATTTAGTTATTATTTAAATTTTTGATTTCCTCCTCTATATGTAAATGTCTAAAAGCCTTTGTAGCTAATCTAATTATGACATAAAACCCCCATCATATTAATGAACGAAAAATTAAACATGGGTCAAGTCTCGAGTCTTGGGGAAACCTTGGCCTTGGAGAGCTATGTACATATGATATGTTATTCTTTACATAATGTCTCCACTGTTTCGTCCCTCCACCTACTCCCTGCAATCTTTTTGTTGTGATGTAGAGGGGAATCTAAGGGAATAAATTTCTCCTCTCCCCTCCCTCCAATATTATTAAATCAAAAATCAACACACACAAACCAAGTCCAGAACAACAATAACCATTCTCTCCAATTCCCAATTTTTGGCAATAAAATCCGGGCGGGCATTTAATACCTTTTTGTTCATTACATTGTTTTAATTCTCCACTTTCCAAATCCTCGATTGGCTCACCTCTAAGGCAAGTATTTAATAAACCTTTTTTTTAATAAAAATCAGAAAAATTACTTAAATAAAAGGACAAACATTGAGGAATTAAACAAAAATAAAATATTTTATTTTCGTTATTTTCTTCACATTTTTGTCTAACGAGACGACAAATAGTTCCGATAGGGCATTGAATGGAATCACATAAAGGTGAACGGCAAATACATTGTGGACAGCCTAAACCATCCATTTGGAAACTAAAAAAAGTTTTTTTTAATTGAAATGTGTTGTCTTTCTTTAATTAAGAAATGTTGAGGCGTTGAGCGGATCTAAGGGGATATTTTAGTTTTTAAACTCATTATAGGTATGTATTGTAAAGCATCTATCTATTTAATTCCTAAGGCTGTGCAGTAGGCGGCGTGGTGTAATGGCTAACACATCAGTCCGGTCTAATGAAGATGCTGGTTCGCTTCCAACGGCCGATTAACCTTTTGCACTAGCTGAAGGAGAGAAATAGCTATAGCCCAGCTGCTTTACTGTATCTTGACTAATAATCAAGATTTTATGTTTTATTATTTAAAATCTTTTCAAACTCAAAAATATTTATTTATTTTCCCCTCCAAATTTATTTTTAAAATTATTTATCTAATTACCCAAAAGGGCATTTTAATTCACAATTTACTGAAGGGCATATTCTTCTTAATTCACACCCTCTAAAAACTTCATTTGGTGCTCTCGTTCCATACAATTCAATCCCCGTAGAAGACAAATTATCAACACACCAAGTAAACCCGTCAAGACTTTGAATAGGTAAATAATGACCAGAACGGTCACATTTTGGCTTTAAATAAATTTAAAAAATATTTTTTTAAATAATCATAAATACTTTTTGTAATTTATTGTAATCAGAAAATTTTGAAAAAATTTCTGCAGAAATACTGAAAATAAAATTTAAATAATTTAATTCGGTAATTAATTACCGAATTAAAATACATTTAGAAGTTCCACTTTCTGGATATAAACAAATTAGTTTATTCCCACAAATATCACTACAACATTTTTGAAGTCCTTCACAATCATTATCTTTTAAATATTTTTTTCTTTAAAAATTTAGTTTTAATTCCCCTTTAATTACCATTATTGCATTCATTCTCTTTAGTTTCATTTATTTTACAAAATTGTTGAATAATGGTTGTTGTATTTATTTTATTTAAAAATATTTTTGGACAATTTCCAAACTTTGTTTTATTATTTTGAGATAATTCGATTATTTGTTTTTGATTTTCTATTGAAGTTTTGATTTTTGTCTAGAAAAAGTGGAGGTTTAAAATTAAATTATTCTTGTATAAATTAAAATAATTTTTCTCCCCATTTGTATTCTTTAATTTTTTGCTTAATTAATTGTATATTTTTAATTATTTTATTAACCATTTTTTGATATTTCTAGTGTGAATAAAAAAATACAGTAAATAGCCTAATAGAAGCCCACACCTTATTGGAAGCCCACTTAATGAAACACGTTGAAAAATAAAAAGGCCTCTATTGGGCCAACTTCGGTATATTAAAAACTATATAGCAATTTATGTGTTCGTAAGAATACCCACAAAATAACCCAACTAATTTTTATTTGAAACACACACACCTGTGTTGGCCTTTGTATAACAAATTCATTTTTATCTTCATTTAATCCTTCCAATCCCCCAATTTCTTCATTTTCATTATTTAATTTAACACAATTTAGCCCACAACCATTAAAACAACATTTCTCTCCCTTTCCAAAACAATCTTCGTCTGATTTACATTTTGCTTGACATTTATTATTTAAATATAAATTTGTTGGTGTTGATTTTATAAATGGGCAATTACCCGGTTTTGAAAGCTTTTTTGGTTCTGGACAGCAAAAACCTAGTCCATTATAGCCAATCTGCAAGAAATTTTAAATAAATTTTGGCTCTATTTTAGGGCATGCGTCCCATGAACTTTTATGCGTCCCATGATCGTATTTGCGTACTCTGATGGGACGTATATACTATTTTTGGAACGCATGCTCTAAGATAGAGCCTAAATTTGGTAATTAATTTTTTGTTTAGCAAAAAAATAATTTCAGGTTTTTTCCTTAAAAGAGAAAAAGCTTTTAGAGAAAATAGCTCTAAACAATTAAAAATAAATAAAAAACTGGAATTTTTAAAGAAAATTTTTAATAAACAATTTTGGAAAATCATAGAAACTTGCCTTGTGGCACCAATAACCCTCCCAACATTGTTGGGTCCTTTTACAAAGAGCGGTAACTCCATTGCTCATAACCATTGGAGAACCGTTAGGGCAGGGATTTAATAAACCTTAGAATTGAAAAAAATTATTGTCAAAAAATATTTGTCAACTTTGTTTAAAAATGTTTAAAATCAAAGTCAAAATAATTGACTGTTAAAGAAATAGTTATTAAAATTTAACTTACATTTTGCTACTGTAGGGCAAGGAATTGTTAAACAATCTAGTTCAACAAGTTGGCATTTATATAAAGGATTTACACATCTAAATATTATAATCACAAAACTTCTAAATTTTTAAAGATAGAATAGCATTTCATTACATACAGTTCAAGTTTTAAGACATTTTGGAATTACATCAAAAATATTTGTCAACTTTTCTCTCATAACACAAACCCAGAGTTTAATTTAGTATTTTAATTAATATCAAAAACTGGGGTCTGAAGTAAAAACTAGAGTTGGACAAAACGATACTGGTATCGGCCAACCCGAGACCGAGACTGACCGATACTCAAGAACCCGATACCGAGACCGATACCATCATTTTTAGCCGAGACCGATACCGAGAAACGATACTGACCGAGACTAACAGAAATTTTTATTTTACGTCAAAAAATACGTGTAAAAATTTATAATTTCTATAGATGAAAGACTGCTCTACATGCCAAAAAAATCTTGTGTAATTCCTCCAATCTGTTCTAATGTTATAGGCAAAATGCCTCAAAAAAAGGTGCGACCTGGAGAATAATTTTTCTCACTTTTCTTTAACCTTATCTCAAAATAGAATAGGATTTAATAGAATTTAATTCTCTATAATTTCATCTTTATTTGATCTCATTTCTTTAATTTAAATAAAGTTATGGCAAAAATAAAGTGTCCAATTACTTTTTTGTCACCCTGTATAATTATTTACTAATTTAATTGTCTTTCATTTAAAAAGAATATTTTATTAACTCACTTAATCAGTTCACATTTTAATAAAGGATTCTCTATATTTGGACGAAGTAAAATAGAATTTATAGGGGAACTTTCTTCTTCAATATTCTCTTGTTCTCCATCTCCTTTTTTAATTTCTTTTTCATTTTTCCTTCCTTCATTTAATTGTTGAATATATAAATTATTTTTTAAAGGTTGGATTTGTACAGGTGGACGAGAAGGTGAAATTAATTTAGTACTAATAGATATACATTTCCACCCTCCACATTCACTTGGACAGCAACGACTATTAGGTAATTCCGAACAATCCAAATCATTCAGACATTGGATTGGGCACCAATCAGTTGTTGATGGGTGTTGTTGTATATTTTTGTTTATTACTTAGAGAGGATATTAATTAATAATTAAAAAAAAATTTTTTTAATTAGAAAAATAAAATGAAAATTTTTTTTGAGATTTATCTAAAACACAAGTTGGGGGAGAATATTGGAGAAGGCAACAAAAATATTTTAAATCTTATTAATTTTTAATTTAAATACCTGGACATTCTCCATCAAAACCTTCATCGTCTTTACTTTCATGCTCATTAACCGGATTAATTTTATCGGATGAAATAGTTGAGGATATTATTATTTCCTCATCTTTTGATGATTTAATTAAATTAATGAATATAATAAATATTAATTTAAATATTTTAAATTTAGTTTTCATATAAAATTGTAGACTAGAAGAATTTACTAGTATAACAAGGATTAATAACTTTAATTTAAATTTACTATTATCTTTAACTTAGAAACTTTTTAATAATTTTTTCAACTACATATCAATCAGAGAAAATATAAAAATCCTTAAAATTATGCAAATTTAAGAAAAAAAATTAAAATAATTAAAAATCATCGATTTCAATATTTTTTTAAATATTTTAAGTACAAAACAAGTTACTAAAATTGTGTGGGATTTTCACTGGTAAAATTCTAACAGTGAAAGTCGCGCCAAAGGCAACTTGAAATCCTCACACACTTTTCACAACATCACTCAACCCACAATAACAATAGAGAATATATTTAAATACTGAATGTAGAAACAAATAAACACATCCATCTACTATTGCTTTTCGATCACGCAAGCAGGAAATATCCTTCCATAATTACCCTCCCTCCCTACCATTCAATGAGTGAATTAAAAGTAGAGAATAAATAAAAAATAATTTTGGATTTTTATTTTACTGCTAGGCTTGTTTTTGCTTACTAAAGCAAATAAAATATTTTTACTTAATTCCTTCCAGTCATTAATAAGAAAATAATAAAGGATTTTTGCCTATTTTTTGTGCAAAAAAATTAGTGAATGAATTTATAGAGGGATCTTCTCTTATATATTGGCTGATAAAACTTACACTCTTAAGTAGGGTTGTCGGTTTCACCTAATTCTTCGGTTAACCGAAAATCTTCGGTTTTTCGGTTCGGTTTAAAACCGACAACCCTTCTCTCAAGGCCTAATTTTTAAACCTCCTTAATTTTCCACAAAACCAATAATGTTAAATTGATATCCCATTCGGCACTATATGAAAGGAGGTCGATAATCGTTTTTTTTCATTACTTTTTTCCATTAGTTTTTTCCATTCTTGATATGACAGAATGGTCAGCATTTTCCTCCTTGTTCTATTCCATTATATTCCCTGTGGCATAATCAAAAGAAATGATAGAGAAAAGAATTAATGGAAAGGAGAACGACTCAATACAGGCAATTAATACTTTCAAGGGTCTCCTGTTTTCTTTTTGTATCGACACACAAACAGACAAAACTCGGACGTACTCGGACAGACAAACACAGACAGACTCGGACGGACTCGGACAGACAAACACGGACGGACACAGACGGACAAAACTCGGACGTACTCGGACAGACAAACAGACGGACAAAAGACGGACGGACTCGGACAGACAAACACGGACGGACACAGACGGACAAAACTCGGACGTACTCGGACAGACAAACACAGACAGACTCGGACAGACAAACACGGACGGACATAGACAGACAAAACAGAAGACAAACACGAACGGACACGAACAGAAAACACTCGTGTTTTGTCTGTCCGTGTGTGTTGTTTTTGTCTGTCCTCATTTGAATATGCCACAGGTAAAAAGAGTGGAATTGAACGAGGAAGAAAAGACTGACCATTATTTATAATTAAGGAAGGAAAAAAATAATAGAAAAAGGTTATGAAAAAACGATTATCGACCTCCTTTCATATAGTGCCTCCCATTCTATGTTCAAAAAAAGTTTTTTTGAGAAAACAATGCCCCTTATAAAAAATTATTTTCTACCTTATTTTTATAATTAAAGTATAAAAACGAATTAATTTTATCAAAAAGTTTGTTGTAAAGATTTTGTATATAAAAACAGTTTTCAAAAACATCAAAATTCCGGAGTTAATTGGAAGAGGAATTTAAATTTAAAGAAAAATTATTTTTAAATTTACATTTTTTAAATATTTAAATGCTAATTCTTTCCTCTTCCTACAATCCCGTATATGGGTCTAAAAAAGGTTTCCGAATAAAAAATAGAATAAACAAAAAAAAACTAGCCCAAAAAGATTTTTAGAAATAACCAAAAGAAATTTAGAAATTGAATTTAAATAAATTATTGGGCTAATTAAAAATGTGTTTACTATTTATAGTGTAAGAGCGTTGTAATAGCACACAAAGAGTAAAGGCAAACAAATATCTCTCAACTCGGTCATTTTTTCTTTTTTTCCTCAGAGGTAGATGAAGTAGAATTCGATGGCATAGTAGTAAATGTACTATTTGAGCCCATCTTGAATAACAATAAAAAATTTTCAAAAAATATTTTAATAAGCACACTCTCCAAAACCCAAGTTTTAACTCCCCCAGTGTATATAAAACCAAGGGCGTAGCAATTTTTATTGCGTATTGAATGAAAATTTTATTGCGTATTTATTTTTCAGCGCCGCAGGCGAAAATTTTTTGAAAATTGAAGATCGTAAGCGAAAAAATTTCATTTTTCCTATCAACTTTCTCACAATATTTTTCTCTTTTCCACATTTCAAGGCAAGGGGGGGGCTATATCCGCAGAAGCCTCCCTAGCTACACGCTTGTATAAAACAACAAAAACATACCGCCAAGTCAAGTGTTGCATTACCCATTGCAGTTGCAAATGTCGGTAATATAAAGTTTCCATGCACAAAATTGACCTAAATTTTGAATTATTTTATTGAATTTCAAAATTCAAACAAAAGTATCAATTGTTTTTTGTGCATCACGTAAATGTCCACTGTATCTTGAATATGTCCAAGTCACAAGGAGAGCAATAACAATTGTCAAAATTAGAGAGAAAACGGAAGCCACCATAAAAAGACCCAAAAGTTGGAAAAATTCTTGGACTAAAAATTGAAAATAATTGATTAATTAAGAAATTTTAAGAAGGTACAAATAACTTTTAACTTAATAAAAAAATTTACGACAGATGTATGTATGTAAGGGTGAGGATAACTTAATATTCCAAATCTCAATAAAATCACAATCAAAACCAAAAAGCAAATCCTTAATAGACAATAGAAACTTACAAATATAGCAGACAACCATAAATGAAACCAGAACAGCAGGTGTTTTAACAGATTTAAATAGATTCTTTGAATTATTGACGCGAATAAAAGCCTCATTTGCAGACTTAAAAATAATTATATACATATTAATCAATTAAAAACCTTTATATCTTCCTCAAGTTTTTCACGAAATTGAGAAGTTAATTCGGGGCCGCCCATCTTCTTTGCACTGTTGAATGAGAGAAGAGCACTGGCACGACAACGTTCATGATGTTGATTAAGTTCAGCACTGCTCATAAAAGGTGTATCACCTCCACAGACCTTAAAATAATTTTAAAAATATTATTTTAAGTTTGTAATTAACTTCTTCCATTTCTTTTGAATAAACGGCCTTTGCACTTGCTACAGCAGCCAAATTATTTGCCTCTGCTGTTGCCTAAAAAAGAAATAAATCTCAAAAATTAATTTTAAAAAAATTACAGCTAATATAGTTTTCGGTTCAGGCAATTCCGTTCCATTAAATACTTCAAAATAAGCCTAAAATAAATTAATTAAAAAATTTTTTATCAAAATAAAACAAACATTTAAATATACGGATAATTCACGACAAGTAATTTGTTGCCCATTAATAGCTTTAACAACTAAATTGTTACGATCGAAAAGATGAGGAACAAGTGCGTGTAATTGAGCTTTAAAGTCTGCGCTGATTGCTAAAATATATAAAATGAGTTTTAATGTAGCGGTACTTGTCGATTATCATAGCTAAAGTGATCTAGAATAGCCGACCTAATCTTTCATTCAAAGATCCATATCTTATTGTTAGCTCAAGAACCTTTTGACGTCATTCGAATCAGCTAAAAGAGCTTATTCGAATGATATAAACTTCTCCCATATCAGACATACGTCTTTTAATTCAGACGACTTTTGGTCCAAAAAATTTTGACAAAAATTTAAACAAAAAATAATCATATTAATTTATAAAATTCAGAGAATATTTCGGTACTAACGATTTTCTTATGTTAGAGTGTTGGGAATAAAATAAAGAATTATCAATTTTCACTGAAATTAAAGAAAGTTATGTCAAAAATAAAAGTGGCGGAAAATTTGCCGCACCCTGAAAAAAAATTTAAAGAAAAAACCAACTATTCAATTCGCCGCGGAAGTTTGGACTAGTAGCCACATCAAGCCCAGGATGGGGCATTAAAAAGCATTTAATATTTTCAAAAGTTGATTTGATGTGTAGTCGAAGTTGTTGTAGCTCTTTGTGCTGTTTTGCACCTGTTTCCAAGCGTTTGTCCAAAATTCTTTGACCCCCATTAATTCCATATTCTGCTTCATAAGGAAAACACCAATCACGAACAAGAAACATAAGAGTCTGAAAAACATTTTTAAATGTTAGTTTAATCGAAGATAATTAACCTGGAAAGGTTTTGTTTCTTGATATTCATCCATAGCTAGACGAGCATATTCAGCAAAAAGTTGTAAATGTTGAAGATGATCTTCTTGGATAGTTTTGGTAACGTTATAAATCTGAAAATTTACTACAATGAAGAAATAAAGATGTGTATTCCTAGAAATTAAAATAAAAATGTTTCCTGGACTAGCAATCCCAAAAACACAAATTCCATATCAATTAATTTGAAAAACTCACAAGAATAGAAGAAATCATTGTAGAAAGTGCAAATATTGTGGCGCAACTTTTGACTGTGCTAACACAGTCAAAAATACCTTGCGTATCCATTAGAATCACAACAATCTATAAAATTAGAAATCAAAAAATTATAAGTTAAAAATTTTCAGAAAAATCAAAATTCCCTAGCCCTATAAGGTCAACAGACCCAAGTACTATAGTCTGCTTACTTGATAGAACTTGCCAAGTCAATTACGAAAATATAAAAATTGAAAACCTCATTTCCATGCTTGTCCTGTAAAATAAAAGGTTCTGGCCAAATAAGAATTCCACTAGTCTCCCGGTCATCACCTCCACGCCAACTAAAACCTTTTAATTGACCACTATTGCCCTCATTGCTATTAATTAAATTTGTTTGTAGCCAATCAGCTTCTGATTCATCATCGCTGGCACATGTCTTCCATCGTAGATAGCGTAAGAAGAAATTTAAAATGAAACTTTTTCCAGTTCGAAAAGCACCAGCAACACTGACAACACAAACCTAGAGAATTTTTGATGGTGAAAAAATTGCTACTAAAGGAAACTTGTTTATCAGCAATTTTTGGATCTAACAATATTGATTCCAATTTATCTTTGTATATTTCAAAGCTTTGTTGAGTTTCGCCGTCCTCTTCTGCAACTGGTGAAATAATTGAAACTGGAGCTGTCACAGACATTTTAGAAAAATAGTCTATGTGGCACAAAGAAATTAACTTAAAAAAAACTCTAAAATGATAAAATCAATTGATAAAATCAATCGGACTATTTACACTCAACAAAATGTCCTATTTCGTTAAAAAAAATTTTTGCACTTTATCTAAAAAAGAGACTCAATTGGTTGAAAGTTTAAAAGTCCATTACAGTCTTGATCAACGAATTCGGCTCTTTTTTTATCATTTTTATGGGACACGCCCAAAATGGCGCGCGGCCATAACGGCGCAAAGCCATAACTTGCTTCAAGATTTCCGAATCTTATCAACTTTAGTATCAAACGATTCCTCTCATCGAGCTAAAGAGATTGGTACCAAAATTGAAAAGGGTCAGAAATTTTCCAGCTAGTTATGGCTTTGCGCCGTTATGGCTCGCGCCGTTTTGGGCTATACCCTTTTTATCATTTTTCTTTAATTTCTTTTGTTAAATGTTTGTGTTTGTTATGGCCTTTGATCTTTTACGCTTCTTTTTCGTTAAATATATATAATTCCAATTACCTATTAAACTCTATTTTACTTGACGTGTTTTATATTTGCCAGAAAATTTAGACAATTCCTTTTTTTAATTGATTTTATTATAATTTATCATCCCATTTTTCAGTTCATTCATTCATTTACTGACTGGTTTATTTGTAATAAATATATTAAAAATTAACAGCGATCATTACTTAAACAACAACAACCACGGACAGTTTTACATTTAATTCATTTTTTTCTTGTCTAAAAAGAGCTTCATTTTCTTCACTTAAATTATTTCGTTTTTCTGCCTACTCAAGTGCAAGTATTGATGAAATGAAAATTAAAAATGATGAAAAACTAAAAAGTACAAATGGGGGGAATGAAATTCAGAAAGATAATTTTAATCCTTTTAAGGTTTAGTCTTTTTTAATTTTTTTAAAATTTTATCTAAATTTTTAGCCAAAGAGAGCAGTTATTGTCTCTAAATCTTCCCTCCTTGAATACGAATTTGAAAAACTTGGAAAGCCTTTTAAATCATTTGATGATCAACAATTAATCACTCAGGTTATTTTTTTCTATTTATTTTCTAATAATATTTTTTAGTTGGGCAAAAAATATTCAAGTGCTGTGGATCTCAAGCAAAGGCATGATCAGCAGCAGCAATATATTGCTTCTATTTCTAAAGAACTTGAGTAAGTAGAATTTTTCCATTTAATGACCGCTTGTAAAATTTCCTCTTGTTAACTTACGGAGCGGACATTTCACGGAATGACCAAATCGCGGAATAATTTAAAATCGAAATTTTTTAAAAATTCTGAATATTTCTAAAAAAAGGCTTTTTTAATTAGAATATCTTAAAAAATGGAATTTAAAAAAATCTCAAAAATTCTGATTTCTAAGAATATTTTGCTTTTTGAAATATTCCATGAGTTGGTAATTTCGTTCCGCGACCTGTCTGTTCCCTGTGTTGGAATTCCTCGAGTTAGCTCCCCACCCAAATTTTATTACAATTACTTATTTTAATTTCTATTCCCGCTTTAAAAACATATCTTTAATAGAGTTAATTCCTGAGTTATTCCAATTATAAAAATACAAAATTATACTTTAGGCGTCACAACATTGAATACCGAGTTGTCAAGCGTCGTCAATATTCCGATGAATTTGTTGATTGGGGTGATTTGATTATTTCTGCTGGAGGTGACGGTACTTTTTTGACTGCTGCTAAAAGGGTGATTAACTCAAACAAGCCTGTTATTGGCATTAACACTGATCCGATTGGGTAAATTTATTTAAATTTAACATTCAAATATACATTTTTATTAGATCAGAAGGTTTTCTCTGCCTAACTGGCAAATCTCGACATCCTGCCGATGAAGTAATTCGTCAGTTCCTGGCGGATGCTGCTTTGCCCGGTTTTCGTTGGCTTTGGCGGCAAAGAATTCGTGTAACTTTTCTAAATTTTGGTTTTGAGAACGGCGTTTCTCCTTCTCCCTCCTCTTCTTCTTCAATTCAACAACAAGAAAATCAAGTAAACGGTGTTGTTAAACCTAGTGAAAATGACGAACATATTCACACTGCTGAAGATATTGCCGAAGAGGAAAATGCAGATGAAACTAATTTGGAGAACTCGCGGAAGACCATTTTCAGGTATTTTTATTTTAAGCGTAGGATTGATTTGTTAATATCCGAATTTAAAAAATTTTAACAAGGAGGAATACATCTTTCTTGACCTCTTAACCTTCTCCAAGTTTTACTTTTGAATCTTACTCCTTTTAATGCCTTATTATTATTTTTAACATCCTTTTTAAATTTAAAAACATCTAAATAGTTCGGACGATGAAGATCAGGAAATAAATACAGCACGTGATTCAAATCTTATTACAAGTCGTTGGTTAGCTCTTAATGAAGTTTTCATTGGTGAAAGTCATGCAGCGCGGGTAAATATTTAAATTAACATAAAAATTTTTATATTTTAGGTTTCTTATTATGATGTACAAGTTGACAATGGGCCAATGACTAAACAAAAAAGTTCAGGAATGACAATTTGTACAGGCACAGGATCATCTTCTTGGTAAAAAAATTTATTAAAAAAATTATTTTATTATTTTTTGAATTTTAGGCATTTTAATATAAACAGAATGACCGAACAAACAATTGAAGAAGTATTGTCTGTAATAGATAAAATGGGATTAAAATTGGATCAAGTAGTAGATGCTGAAATGATAGAAAATATTTGTCGTAAATTTAATGAGAAATTGAGATTTGGGCCAGAATTAACAAGTTTAGAATGTTTAAAATATTTTTAAAATTATTTTTTAGCAATGGCGTTTAGTGTTCGTGATCCTGTTTTTAATGCAACATTTCCAAAAATGGCTATTCGGGGATTTGCCAATAAAATTTTAATTAAAGTAAAAATTTTTTTTGAATTTTTAATTTAAATTTTAAAATTTTGTAGTCTCGTTGTAAAAATGCACATTTAATTCTCGACGGGTCTACATCAATGCCGTTTAATAGGGGAGCTGAAGTACTTTTAGAAATACATCCTGAAGATGCTTTGAGGACTGCTGTTTTTAGTAAGGAACATCGAAGTTAAAAAGGGAATATTTTTTTGTTTTATAAAAATTTGATCAATAGGTGTAGATTAAACTTTTGATTTTTTTGATATTGGGTTGATTGTTAAAAAATGTTTTTGTCAAATTTTAAGAATTCCCTTAATTTCAGCTTTACACTAGTGTTGTTGGCAACCGGTTTTAAAAATGGAATTTTTGAAATTTTTTGCCAAAAATTAACCGTTTTTAGAAAATTTTAAAAACCGGAAATTTGTGAAAATGAGTGATTTTATTTGAAATTCCCCCAAAATTAAACCGGTATTTGCCTAAAACTCAAAACCAAAAATCGGAGGTACCGGTTAATAACCGGTCGCTAACAACTCTACTTTACACCTATTGATCTGAAACAAATAAATGAACGTTTTTAGATTCAAAATATGAATATTTTTACGCGTTCATTTATTAGTTTTTGTAAATAAAAACACATTCTGGCCATAAACTTTTTAGCTTAATTTCTTTTTTAGAATTCCCTTTTCAAAATATTTTGTTTTGTAATTTTAATTTTGGGCTGTCGGTAATATTTTTGTTTAATTAAATTTTTAAAAATATTTGTTTAGAATTATTTTTAAAAAATAAGCAAAATTATTTTGTTTAAAAAATTTTCATCCAAAGAATAAAATTATTTTACAATTAACTATTTTGATTATTTGGAAAAATATTTAAATAAAAAATCATTAGTTACTGGAACAATTATAGGAATAGGTACAGGTAATGGTAAAATACAAAGATTTTTCTCTCTCTTATTTGATATTTTTTCTTTATTTTTAACCATTTCATCCAACATTTGGTCAATTTGATCGTCAGAATCGCTAAGATATAAAAAATTAAATTTTTAAAAATACTTAATAAAATTACCAATATTTTAATTTTTGTTCTTTCCCACTAATTTGTTTATCATTTAAGCTTTGTTGTTGTTGACTAGTTGATTCTTTAGTCATTTCATTTTGATTAAATATTTCCATTAATTGTGTTAATGCTGTAGATTCTTTTTTATTAAAATTTTGTTTTTCATTTAAAAATTGAGGAAATTGTTGAAATATTGGGGGAGATGAATTTAAAAGTCCTGCAGAATTTCCTTGTTGAAACATTGAATTTTCGGGAAAAAATCCTGGAGGTGGAAATGGAGGAAAATGAAAGGAAGGAGGAAGTAGTGGGGGTGGAAACATTTGAAAATTAAATTGTGGTGGGGGTGCTGTCCTCATTAATTCTTCAAAATTTGGAGGTGTTGTCTCTTTAGAATTAATTGGAAGTCGAAAGGGAAATTGGGGGAGAGATGAAGGGAGAGAAACAAATTGAGGAGGGATATTTGTTGGGGGAGAAATATTATTTTGATTATTATAATTTGTTGATTTTAATATATTTTTTGGAGTTATGTTTAATGAAATATTGTCTGACAGAGTAGACGAAGTTGTTAAAAAATTAATATCCAAAGGATTTGTAACAATTTTTGGAGTAGAAATTGGGAGTTCAAAACGTTTTTTTACCTCATTTCGAGAATTAGAGGGAATTTCCTTTTTTATACAGACGTTTTGAGAACCTTAAGAAGTGATAAAAGTTATTAATAAATTTAGGTGACCTACTAGATTTGTTTGGTATATGTGCTTTTCCTGCTTTAGCTTCCTCCCAGTACCTTTTATTTAATAAATGAGGAGGATGAGGACAAATCTCTGCACTCCGTTTTCTGTTAGTTGTTGTTGTTTTTGTTGGCATTTTTTAAAAAAGATCATAAAAAATATAAAATAGACTTAAATGAGACTGAGTTAATATTAAACTTTATTTCAAAATTTTAAATAATTTTTCCCTTGTATTTTGTTTAGTAACTGAGAAAAAAATTCTTAGTCAAAATAGAAAATGCTGAAATAACAAAAATAAGTCCCATATCTTGAGTAAGATGGATACCACTCCTCCTCTACAATTACCACCACCAAAGGAAAACGATATGTAATTTCAAACTATTGCTGATGGCGCAAATGAACGAACGAAATGTTGAAGATGAAAGTAGTGACAGTGGTTGAGGAGATCCTTGGATGGGAATTGGACTCTCGGTGCATAAAAATGGGGATTGCTAGTAGCCGAGATGTGAGTAATATAAGGGTGATGCGGGGGATTTCTTTCTCTCCGTGTGTGATGCATTGGATCGAATTACTCAGCATCTCACTCAGTTTGCCACAATTTTTCTTAGGGAATTTGAGAAACTGCTATGGGATAAAATTTCAGCGCAAAAACAAAATTCTTTTCCTTGTTGAAAATCAGCACTGATCAAACGAAATTTTGTTTTTTATTTTTGAATGAAAAAAGTTATACTAAGCTACTCAGTAATTTTTTCAAAATATGTATAGAGCAACAGTTGTATTTATTAAACAAAAATACCGAAAAAGTTTTGTTATTAAGTAGGTTTTTGTAAATTAAGACAAATCTATGATTAATAGTAAACACGGTAATACTTTGGGTTAGACTTCTTTTTCCTGATCTCCTTTACGGCATCTGATCTCATTCTTGGAAAATTATTTATTATTCGACTCAGCTTTTATAACTGACAATGAGTCGATTGAAAAAAACTAAAATAAACGAAATCGAATTAAATCAACAAAATTATGGCCGTTTGTTTTAACCCCTTGCAGCCAAATCTAACCAATAATGGTATCATTCGAACTATCTCAAAGATGATCGAGGAATGGTATTTGGGTTTCTCAAAATGGACGAGGAAACAGGAAAAAAGGGGGAGGGCTAAACTGACTTAATTTTTAACTGTTAACCAAATATTTGTAAACTCAACATCTTTCTTAAGGAGTAACAGGCACCAGACCTAATAAAAATCTCTTACGCGTTACTAATTAAAATCTCTCCAAATTTTGACAAAGTTTAAAAATAAAATAAAAAAATTTTGCACTCCCCCCTCCCTCCTCTCCATTCGAAGTAGATGGAAAAGAAAAGGTGAAAAAATTGAAATTCTATCCATACAAAATAAATTACCCCTCTCCCCTCTTTCCTTCCAATTGAGTACATATACCCGTTCTTTAAGCCGTCCCAACCATCAAACTAAAAAATTATCTCAAATTTCCTTCTCCTTTACATTATTTTCTGATGATATCTGACTCCATTTTTGAGAAGGAAAAATAAAATAAATAAAAATAACTGTTGGAAAAAAAAATTTCAAAAAATATTTTTAAAAAGAATTTATTTTAAAAATTAAATGTTTAATGCCCTAATTAGCATATAATTAATTCTCTATATATTTTGGAATAAAAAATATTATTTTTTAGAAAGGAATATTTATTAATATCTTTTTTATTTCATCACAACCGTTTCTCTAAAAAGTCTATATTTAATCTAAACCAAACATAAGGGTAATAATCATGAACCCCCAATGAAACAAGAGTTGGAGCATCATCAAATGTCTATAAAATGTTAAATTAAAAACTTTTTTTTGGGGTTTTAAGCAGATTTCCAAAATAAAAATAGTCAAAATTTCTGTGTCGGGCTAACTCACTGAACGGACAAGTCACGGAACGACAAGTTACAGAATTACAATCACGGAAAAAATATATTCTTAAAATATTCCATGTTTTGGTCATTCCGTGACTTGTCGTTCCGTGATCTGTCTGTTCATGAGTTGGAATTCCTCGAGTTAGCCCCCTTCCCTAAATTTCAACTAATCAAGGGCAGTCAATCATAGATTTTAATAAAACCGTGAAAGAGAATTCACAAAAAAATTATTTTTTTAAATCAAAAAGACTTCAAAAACAAGAATTATTTAATTCACCTCTATAGGTCCACTAGCAGATCCATCCAAATGAAGATAGAGTTTATTAAGTTCACTTCTCAATCGTTTCTGTGAATTCTTTAACGGCTCCATCAAAACTGCTTGGAAATTAACTGGAAGTCCATACCTTTAAATAAAAATAATTTTCAAAATTAACCTCAAAAAACCTCAAAACAGATTCAACAAAAACTCTCAAAGCCTTTACATGCATATAAGCAGAAAAAATCTCTCCAAAATTAATTTTTAGCCATCGAACCAAAGGAGCATACAAACGTTGTTTTTCTTGGACAAGTTTGTCTCTTTCACTTCTGCCAGCTTTTAATGATTGTTCATCATAGACAAAATCACGAACAATAAATCTATTTAAATAATTAATAAAAATAAATAAAATTTCCTCCTTACTTTTGCTCTCTACAATTTGCTCTGTATTCATCAATCACCTTCTGCAAATTAAAAAAAAAATTTAAAAAATAATTTTTAAATAAACCTTAAATAAAGTAACAGTATAGAGAGCATGTTCCTGATCCTCAACAATTTTTTGAGCAGACCCAGGGACAACCATATTTGCAAAAGTAAAATAACTACTTTCCCATTCTTTTATTTGAAGTCTAAAAAATATTTTTAAAAATTAGCAAAAAAGTTTAAAATCCAACTTTGGAACAGCAACACAAACAGTCTGTAAATACTCAGAGCCTAGAACAAAATTATCAGCTTTGACAATATCCGAAAGATCTTTTGTTACTAAAGAACCTCTAAAAATATTTTTTTAATAAAAAAATAGTTTTAAAAATAATATTTTTACGCTGCTTTTCGATCAATAGAAGCAAGTGTATTTTTTAAATTATTATAAGCTGTAGCCTTCGTTTTGAGGTCATTATCTATTTGTGTTACTTGTTTGCCAATAATTTCAGAAAGAACTTTAAGCGATTGTTTAACAGGGTACTTGGCAGCTTCCCATTGAAATTTTGTTACGTAAGTGTGAACATCCTCTGTTTTAATTAGAAAATAAATTTTGAAAAGAAAAAAATCTTTTCTGTTAAATTTTTAATCATTTCAAAGGATAAGTTTTTAAAATAAAAAATCTAAAATGTGTCACTTCTTTCGGAGAATCCAATCCTTTGAAAAATTGTCAATGGATTCACGGAGGAAATGACTAATCTAATTTCGCACATTTCACGAACCGACAACTAACCAAAAGAATTGCCGGGATCAACTATGTGCAAAGGAAACATAACCCACTTAACCAAAAGAGAATGCAAGGGGAAGAGTTAAAATATTCCTTAACGACTTAACAAATGATTTAAATCTGGTCATAATATCCTCAACCCTTTTACGTTGGAATAATTTCCCTAGTTAAAATAATTCAAACTGAATTAAAAATTCATATTAAAATTATGGTTGGGGTTTTCGAGTCGGGCCGACGTTCGAGTCATTTTTTTCGGGCCGGCCCGACCGAGTCTTTTTCGGGCCAAAATATGATGCCCGACTCGATCTTTCGGACCGGATCCCCAACCCTAATTAAAGTGAAAATTTACTTAAAAGAAAAAATAAAACAAACTATTTCCAATAACCAAATTCTCTTGCAATTTATTTCTTTCTTCTTCTAACACTTCAGAGAAATATTGAACTAATTTTCTAGTTGTCCTAAATAATTTTAAAAAATTGAACAACTTAACATAAAATATTTACTGTTCTGCAGCAGTATCCAATTTTGCTAAATCATCTGAAAGACCAACTAATTGATCCAAAGTGCCAACCTTTAAATATGATAAATTTTGAGCGTCAAATATTCCCACAAAGATATTTATTCTATTAATTAGAAAAAATTTCAGAAAATATTCAAAATAATTATTTTCCCAACAATCTAATACTACTATAATTTATTCAAAATTTAAAATCAATTCAAAAAATCAGAAACAAACCTTTAAATCAGGAATATTGAATTTACTGTTGACAGATAAATTTTGTGTTGTTTGCTGTAAACGATCCCAAGTTTCTAAAGGTGTAGATTCACCTGGAGCGGATATTAACCAAAGCTCGTTGTTCGACGAAGTGCTCATTTGTACAATATTTTCTTTATTAAAACAAAATATATTAAAAAACAATTAGTTATTCTAAATTATCGAAATAAATTAAAAATCAGAAAAAATTCTAAAAAAGGCAAGCAGAACTATTTACATTGACCCAACTTAATTTCTGATCTTTTGTTTAACGTTAAAAAAATTTTCAACAGACAATCGTTTCGAAAAAAATTATTCTTCAAATGATTCAGGTAGGAACAATTAAGTATAGAGAGCGGAATTTTTAAAAAACCGGGATCGGGGAATTGTAGCAGAAGAAACCCGGTCGGGACCCGGACCGGGAGTTCACGATTCCGGTTTCATCCCGGCATCTTCAAAAAAAGCCGGGAAAAAGGACCGGATCCCGTTCCGCTCTCTAATTAAGTCCCGCCGGTTGAGTCCCATGTCATATTTCGACAAATAACTTTTTGGGGTTCAATTATTCTTTTTAAGTATTTAAAATTTGAAAAAACAAATTTTCTAATAATAAATTATTTCTAAAAAATATATTTTATTTACAAATAAATATATAATATCAAAAATATTGTATTGAAAAAAATTAATTGTCACACACTTAAAATCCAATTAAAGCCTAAAATTTAGGATGCAAATAAATTTCTTAACCTTGGAAAATATTGTCGAATCAATTCTCTTCCTTTTGTTGAAAATAATATAAAATATATAATGTTCAAAATACACGTGATTGATGCCACAAATAAATACCTTAAAAAGAAAATAAAAATTATTAAAAATTTAAAGGAAACCAATCAAAGCCAAGTTCAGCTTGCAAATACTTAAAACGTGAGAGAAATTCTTGTCTACACGGTTCAGTTTCTGTGCATCCACTTTCATCAAATTCTTCATAATTTTTAAAAATCACTTTTGGCTTCAAATCTGTCTGTAAACGAATGACATTAATTAATGTGTGTAATTTTGAGTAGTCCTCGTATAGCCGAAGTCTGGGCAAACCATCTTGCCAAATTGCAAGCACAGGTGTTGAGGCAATTCCGTATTGAGCGATTAAACTATGTATTGTTTAAAAAATTTAGGAATTAGAAGTGGTAAGAAGCTTTTAATGGATTAAATCGAAAATTTAGGTTTTCTGTATTCGAATTTTTTAAAATAATCTTTGGAGTAATCTCCAGGATTTTAAGCAAAATTTAGTTAAAATTACCTTTCCATTTCTTTGCCTCCTTTTGAAACATCCACTGCTACAACACGAAGTTTTGGATAAAAACGAGCAATTTGATAAAATGAATCAGCCACTTTTGAAGAGAAAATACAATCGGGAGAAAAGAAAAATGAAAGAAGGCACCAAGGTCTTCCTCTGGAAATTGTTTTCTAAATAAATCCAAAAAAATTAAATAAACTAACGCCTTGTCTCGCAATTTTGTCAAATAGAGCATTTCCTGTGCTGTAAATAATTGCATTCTTGGACGCAAAACATCATCGGCTAAATTATTAAATAAGATTAATTTATTTCAAATTTCTTTTAAAATCTGAAAGGTTAAAATGTCTCCACTAAAATTATATCGGGTAAAAAACATCGAGAATCTAGAAAAATACATTCAAAAAGATAATTTCCTTAGTGACAGATACACCAGCCATTACCCTTCAATATTTTTAAAAACCTGTTGCACAATTCAGTTTCCAAGATATATTTAAATCACAAGGAAGAGAAACCATACATCGAGTATCGTTCATTGGAGGGCATTGTCTAGCCACCCAATATTTGAATGAAGAAAATACTGGGCATCCAAAAGTACCACCAACATTAGTAATGTTTAATTGAATATCTTCATTTTTGTTTGTATTATTAATTGACAAATCGGAAGAATTTTGCTCCTCAATTGAGATGACAAATTGAAGTAATGAAAATAAATAATAAAATGAATAAATCATTAAACTGTTTTTAAATTTAAAACATAATTCTAGAAAAAAGCACAATTCATTTTTTAATTCTTATAATTCATTTTAAGTATTAAAATATATTTTGTAAAACACGCAATTTTTAATACAATTTTAAAAATTCTTTAAATTTATTAAAAAAAAGACTAGAGTTTCTAATACATATAATTTGAGATTCAAATAAAAATAGAAACTAAAGTAATTTAAATAGTAATTCAAATAGGACTAGAAGTTGAACTAAAAATGAGATAGCACAAAATTCTGGTAGAGAAATAATATACAATAAAGAAATTTAAAAATAGGTAAAAGAGAGTGGGGGAAACTGAAAATATATTGCCCAAATAAAAACACATTTTGTAAAACTAAAAACCCAAAATAGAAAATCTAATGATAAATTTTAAATTTGAATATTCTCAAAAATAAGGAGAAATAAACTAAACAAAGACTAGATTAAATAGTAATATGGGCCATTTTCTAAAATATATATAATTTCTATTCTAAATAAATTTTTAAATAAAATTTCACACAAGAGAACAATTTGACGAAATAGATTCTTTTGGTATATAACAAAGGCGTTGATCCCCGAATACAAAAAATCGGCCACATTTTGAACCCAACTTAAAACGTACTTTTGCTACCATAATCCGTTCAATACAATGTCTTTGCTTAAAATTTTTTTAAAATTTAATTTTTAAATGCGATAGAATACCTTTAATACGCGACATGAATCCAAAAGCCTTTTCAAGTGTGCTGCACAAAAGTGCTTGCTGACTTCGTTAATTTCTTTTATTTTGTGCTTTCTAACTGGATGAACCTGAAAAAATATTGGATACCAGGGCCGTAGCCAGGATTTTTTGCCCATTTCGGGAAAGGGGGCTTTCCCCCTTGGCTACGGCCCTGTTTGGTACATTAAATTAATTCCTTATTTATACTTATGCAAAATTTTCTTAAATTTGCTCACATAAGGCCGAGTTTCTGTAAAAATTAGTTGTCCATTAGCTTGACGTAATAAATGATCAGGCATTTCACAAGGAGTGTAGTAGTCAGAACACTCCACAGCAAATGCAACTTTTAATTTGGTGAAAATCCGTACTTGGCCATTTCCTCCACATGCCAAACAACATTTCTTTCCTTGACCTTTACAGTGTTGACAGTCACGAATTCCACGACCTTTCAAAGTTAAATAAATGACCGGTAAAATAGCATTTGTTGAGGCTCAAATGCCCGATCTTTTTTTTTTGAAAAAACGGGACTGGACCCCGCTTGATGAATCCACATAAACAACATACATTATTAAAAATCGAAAAATATTTTTGAGACAAAAGAATGACAAAGGGATAAGATAATAAATTTTTAGAAATATTTTGCCAATAAATATTAACCATGACAAAAAATGCACAAATCATGTTGTCCAATTCCTGGAGGAGGAAGTCCAGCCTTTGCCATAAAATGTACAGGCGTTCCAGCTGCATATGGTTTATCACGTTGAGAACCTAAAAGTGCAGGTTTGATCATTGCAGTTCCGGAAAAAGGAAATCCTCTGTTTGATGAGGAGATACCTCCACCAACGCTTTTTCTGTTATCCTGAAATTTACAAAATTACAGTAAATAAAAGGACAGTTTTTTAGTCTAAAAGATAAATATTTCACTAAAAAATTAAATCACTAACCCCAGAAAAAGTCCCAATCATTGGGTGAGTATAAAGTGCTGGATGTGCAACACCTGCTTTCATTCCAGTTCCTCTACAATAGGTGCATTTGTCTGTGCCAAGGCCGCGACAATGAAAACAATGAATAAGTGCTTCTCCTTTACAAGTATGGCAAGTAGAAAGGCGCTGAGAATTAGGCATTTCCAATATTTTAATCTATAAAGGAAAAAAATAATTATGGTTATATGTTAACCAGAATTTTAACGATTATTAAATGTTTAAACTTCAAAACCTGATTAACAAAATCATCATCAGGTTTCACATCAAAATCCCAAGGATTGTGACCAAAATCGGCAGAAAACAATGTTTTAGTGATTGTTGGATTATTAATTTTTGAAGTAAGAGAATTTGTTGAAATATCCACAGCTGAGCCGCTCTCTTCAAAGCTTCGAATACGAACGAGAGCAGATGAATTGGACATTGTAGAAGAACTTGGTTGGACAGCATCTGCTGTACTCCTTGTTTCAGTAAAGCTTTCCAATACATACTAAAATTTTTTTTAAATAATTGATATAGATAATGTCGGGCTAACTCACGGAACAGACAAGTCACGGAATGATCAAAACACGGAATAATTTAAAAATCGGAATTTTTTTAAAAATTTTTTAACAAAGTAGAGTACATGAGTATTTTAAAAAACAGAATTTAAAAAAATTCTGAAAAATTACGATTTATAATATCTGATTTCTAAAATACACCGAGTTTTGGTCGTTCCGTGACTTGTCGTTCCGCGACATGTCTGTTTTGTGAGTTGGAATTCCTCGAGTTAGACCCCACCCGATATAAAAATAAAAAGATTACATGATAACAACAATTATGAACAATTTCCTCAAAAACCATTTTTTCAATAGCTTTCGAATTCCAACATTTTCTCCTTTTAGCTTCAACTAACAACGATTTTCTTATTTCATCTTCATTTATTTGATTAAGATTCTCTCCTTCTTCTAAACGGATAGGACATTCGGATAAATCTGAAAAAGGGTTTAAAATAAATTTTCAGATTATTTATTTACCAAGGTTTTCTTGTTGCTGTCTGGTATTTCCCGGAAATGGAACAGGAGAAAATGCAGTTGACGTGGAATTAGACAAAGTTTTGCCTATTTGTGGATGCTCAACATCCATGTTTTTTTAAAGAACAGTCAGGAATTATTTTAATTCAAACATTTTGGAAATTTAAATAATAAACAAATAAAAGTCCAAAAAATTTTTGAAGAGATGCTTGAAATCTAAAATTAATAAATTAAAACTTAAATAAAAATCGAATAACTTTTTTAAAGAAGCAAGTTTAAAAAAACATAGTATAAAAACAAATGTATATGCCATTTATGACAAAGAAATTTTTGTCACTCATTTGCACGAGTATTGCATAATAACTGCATCTGGTTTTGTCACAAATGCTTTTCTCGTTTAAATGTTAGTTTATTTTTTTGAAGGGATTTTAAAGAAAGAAGTAAATAAAAAGAAAGAAAGTGCCGTTTCCTCCATAGGGATTTAACAATTTATAACAAAAAAAGCTTCCAAAGGAAAACAAGTGAAGATTTCAATATTTCTTAAGCAAAAAAATTAAAGAATCATTTAACAAGGAAAACTTGTTGCACAATAAGAAATTTTTTTAATGTTTTATCGCCGCAGGCGAAAATTCTCTCATGGGGACAAAAGAGTCCTGCCAATATCGCAAATAAAAAATTGAGTTTTTTATTGTTCTGATTAGAGATCGGCACGGGAGGGATCCCGGGCGGGATTTTAGGGACCCCGTCTCAAAATTCCGGGTTTTATGCGACGAGCGGGATTACCGGGATTAATCCCGCGGGATCCCTCCCGTTCGATCTTTTGAAACTCAATCCCGTTACGGGGTCCCGGAAATGCGATTTTGCCGAGTTCTGATACTTTTTCATTTTTAGAATTAAGAATTCTTTGAATTTTTGAGATGGATATTGATGCTGAAACTTCAGGATCTGAAACAGAGGAAGCCTTTAATCATTTAAATGCAGATCAAAATAGGAAAAGTAAGCGGGCAGGAGGATGGCAAGCTATGGGTAATTAATCTTTCTTTTCCTCTTAATTTTTTTCAATTTAAAGGTCTCGATCATTCAGTCTATAAAGGAATAATTAAGAAGGGTTATCGCCAACCGACACCGATTCAACGTAAATCAATTCCTCAAATCTGTAGTGGAGCAGATGTGGTTGCAATGTCGAGGACTGGATCAGGGAAAACTGCTGCTTTTGTTATTCCAATGCTCCAAAAATTGAAGAAAAGGGATACTCGCGGGATCAGAGCTATCATTTTTGCTCCAACAAGGGAATTAGCTCTTCAGAGCTTTAAATTTGTTAAAGAAGTTTTAAATAATAGATAACCTTTTTTGATATTTATTTTTTAGCTCGGTCGGTACGCAGGGCTTTTATGTGCGTGTTTGATTGGCGGCGATGATATGGATGAACAATTTGCAGTTTTACACAAACATCCAGATATGTAAGTCTATTTTCTGTTTAAATTTTCTGTGTCGAATTTGACCTCTTTTTAAAGTCTAATTGCTACACCGGGTCGTCTGTTACACATTGTTATGGAAATGGGGCTTAAATTGACTGCTGTTCAATATGTTGTATTTGATGAAGCAGATCGTCTATTTGAAATTGGGTTGGGTGATCAACTTAAGGTTTAAAAATTCCTTAAATATTTTAATAATAAATAAAATTTTAAGGAAATAATTAAACGACTCCCTGAAAGTCGACAAACTCTTTTGTTTTCTGCAACTTTACCTAAAATTTTAGTGGATTTTGCAAAGGCTGGGCTTTCAGATCCTGTTTTAGGTTTGCTTTTTTTGTTCATTGCCTTACTAAAATTATTTCATTTTTTATGCGTGGCCTTCTCAATTTATTTTATCTTAATTTCAAAAATTTTTTCTAGTTCGTTTGGATGTTGAGTCAAAGTTGAGTGAGAATTTAAAAACAGTCTTCGCTTGTTGTCGTGCTAATGAAAAATTACCTGCATTGATTCATCTATGTCGAGCATTAAATAGAGAACATCAAAAGACAATTATTTTTTGTGCTACAATGAAACATGTAGAATTACTGGTTGCCTTTCTACAAGAGGCAGGGATGGATCCAGCATTCCTATATAGTCAATTGGATCCTGTTGCTCGAAAGCAGAATATTTATAGGTTTCTTATTTTGTTTTTATTTTTATCTTTTTAAGTTTAGATTTCGAAATACACCTGAATGTTCTCTTCTTGTTGTCACTGATATTGCAGCTAGAGGTGTAGATATTCCGTTATTGGATTATGCGGTTAATTGGCACTTCCCTTCTCGGCCCAAATTATTTGTCCATCGTGTTGGTTAGTTTTGAAATCTTTAATCTAGAATGAGTGAGGAGAGATTCGAAAATTTATCTTAATTTTGGAGCATGATAAATTAAAATTTTAATTTTTAGGTCGTGTTGCAAGGGCAGGCATGCCTGGAACATCGATCTCTTTTATAGCACCGGACGAGATGGCATATGCTCTCGATGTTTTTCTATTTACTGGAAAACCATTGGTTTTCGTTGATAAAGCTGATTTGGATAAGAATATACATGAAGGTATTAATTGTTTTTTTATAATAATCAAATTTAAAATATTTTTATATAATTTCAGACGCCCACTCCGGATTGATTGGCACGCTTCCGGACACTTTCTCGCATTTGGAAACTGAATTTATTTCTAACCTACAGCAAAATTCAATTGAAATTGTAACTTTAAATATTTAGAATATTTCAAGTAATATTTTATTTAGCGTGATATTCAAGCAAAAGCTGACAATGCAATGAAGAAATATACCAAAACAAGACCCCAAGCATCAGCTGAATCCATTCGACGAGTAAAAACTGAACTTTATCAAATAACACCTTATGTGCATCCATTTTTCTTATCGAAGGATTTATTTCCTGAACTTGTAGCTGAAGAATGCAGTGATACTGGTTTAAAAGATGGCTTGCAGCGAAAGGAAATTCTCCAACAAATTCGAAATTGGCGGCCAAATCAGGTATTTTTAAATTTAAAATCTTTCATATAAAAATTATGATTTCAGGCCATTTTTTCCATGCAAAATACTTTAGGTGGTAAAGGAAGATTCTCTGAAAATAAGCAAAACCTTCCTGTAAAGAAGGAATTGAAGAATGACCAGAAATGCAGTATTGAAAGATGTAAAGCTGAAGAGAAAGCAACCAATTATGTTGATTATTTACCGACAGATGCAAATACCGAATCAGGGCTTTCTGTGCAAAATGACAATAATCTAGGTAAAATTCTTCAATTCTTTTTAGTCAACTTAATTTTAAAATTCAGGGGGGTTTGAATCGATGGCAAAACGAGCAAGTTTGGAGCTAGGCGCTGATGACGAAAAAGGTCTTTATATGGCCACAAAAGGTGGGAAGAATGTTTGGGATCGAAAGAGAAAAAAATTTGTAAGTGCCGAAAGTGGACAACCAAAAATAAAGAAGATCCGCACTGAAGACGGCGGTTGGATGCCTGTTAGTTATAGAAGTGGACGTTATGAAAGATGGAAACAACGACAAAATATTAGTTTCCAAGATGAAGAAGAGGATGGAATTGATGGTAGAAGAGAAAGAAATGGTCGGAGAAAGTCATTTGGAAAGAATAAAAATAAAGGTTATTTTTTTAAATCGAAAACTCTAAATTTTACTTTGATAATTTAAGGTAATACAAATAACAACACGAAAACTTCAAAAGCCAAATCAAAGATGGAAATTCGGAACAGTGATCAAATAATTAAAAATAGACGAAAAAAGGCTCGGGTTCAGTCTTATCAAAATTATAGGAAACAAGAGAATTTGAAGAAAAAGGATAGGAGAGGTAGGGCAGGAGGAAAAGGAGGAAGATTTGGAAATGGCAAGAAAAAATCAAAGACTTGAGTTTGATAATTTTGTTTTTTTTGAAAATTATCTAAATTTTATGTAGTTTTGTTGAAATTTTTAAGTAAATAACAGGAAAAATATTAGAAACATTTAAAGCAATTCCGAGTCAAAATCTTTTTTTTTAAAAAAAGGTATATTGATAGATATGTTTATTAATGTTAGAAACATTTTAATAAATTAAAGTGAAATATTCTCGTGATCTTTTTTAATCTCATCAAAGTCCTCTTTCAAAAGAGAAATTGCATGAGGTAATATCTCTTCCAATATAACAAATCCTTCCTTTACAGCTTTAGGACTACCAGGAAGATTAATAATTAAACAATTTCCAGCAATTCCAGCTGCAAGTCTAGTTAAGGCAGCAAATGGTGTAGAACGCAATCCTCCAACTAATAATGAAGTAACAATTCCAGGACATTCTCTTTCAATAACTTCTTTTGTTGCTTCTGGGGTTACATCCCTTTTAGCAAATCCTGTTCCCCCTGTTGTTAATATACAATCAACTTTTGTTGTATTGTTGCGCAAATAACTAATTATTTCTTTTTTGTCATCTGGCACAATTTTGTAGTCAATTAATTGAGCTTTTTCGATGAACTTTAACGAATTTGAGAATAATTCAATTAATAAAGGACCACTTTTATCGAGAGAAGGATTTTGCGATGAGGAATCACTAACTGTTAAAACACTAAACCTCATATCTGAAAATTTAAATTCGGATAAATTTGAAACAATTGAGAATTTTTTTGACTCATTTTGTTGAGAGACTCAAAAGGTCTCTCTTAATTTTTTTGGCATAACGTTTGATTTTTTAAAAATTAGGCGTCTTTTTAAGAAATTTTTTTTCTTAATTTTATTTAAGCTTTTTTTCTGTTTATTTTTTAATTTCTAGAAAGCTAACAAATTCGAACATGTTTGAAGCAAAATTCTCCAATGCTAGTCTTTTCAAAAAAATTATTGAAGCCATAAAAGATCTTGTGAGTGATGCGCCATTTGATTGTTCCGAGTCATCTTTGTGCTTGCAGGTTTTTTAATTTTTTTTTAAAAGTTCATCGAATTGTTTTTAAGGCAATGGATGGATCTCATGTTGCTTTGGTTTCTCTAAAACTTGAAATTGGAATTTTTGATGTTTATCGTTGCGATCGAACGATTAGTCTTGGACTTAATTCTGGAGAGCTTAATAAAGTTTAATTCTTCCCAGAAATAATTTTAATTTACCAAATTCAGGTTCTAAAATGTGCAAAGGCCGATGATACTTTAATGATTCAATTTCAAGATGGTGAGAAAGACACTGTCACTTTTACTCTCGAGGATAACAAAGGACGGAAGCAAGACATTACTCTTAAATTGTTGGACCTTGATAATGAGCATCTGGGTATACCTGATCAGAAATACTCTGCTGTCATTGAAATGCCGGTATAAATTTATGTTCTTAAAGTTCGGTTTAGTGGCGTTATAAATACAGGAAATGTAAGGGGTTGTTGTTAAATTTCTTTTTCATATGTTTGAAGGGCCGATTTAATAAATTATATAATCTAACAAGAGGGGGGTCGATTTCGGGTGTGGGGGCTAACATTAGAGGG